TGAGACATTCCCACTAGAAAGGACAAGCAGACTGGAACAGCTACAGTGACAGAAGATACATGCTCATGATGAACCTGACCTATACTCAGAGCTTTAGTTACTCTAAATACCAACAGAGAGGGAAAGAGTCTTCAAATCAATTATCAGTGCTATCCACTCTGTACACAAGGTAGATAGGAAGGGGCAACTTAGACAATGGCTGCCTAAAATGAGGCGGCAATAAAGGCCTGAAGTGACTGGCTTACAAGGTTTCAAGAGGGAGCTTAGTTTAAGAGGGTGGGGGGAAAGAAAGAGTCCCCACTGAATAGCTATCATCTTGTCTAGATGGGTCTGGTAAAAGGAGATGGGGATAAGATTCGTAAGATTCAATAGTGAATAACTGTTATCATGACTAATCGCGACTGTCATACTTGTAAAGGTAGAAGTTTTTTTTAACAAAAAAGGGGAGTGGTTAATCTTACAGTCCAGAAATAGAGGACCCTAGGACCATCAAGAGAGGAACACACATATAGAATGTGGGAACCTTATCCAGAGAAACAGCAGTGCCTGAGATGGAGGCAGAGATGGGAGAATGGAGAAGGGGGAGCGGCTGAGGACTCTAGATTCATCAACTAAGAGAAGGACTAACAACTGGTGGCCAGGAGCAGACTTGCAGAATGTGCCCTTTGGAGATGTAAATTATTATATATGCCTGAGTGGGTTTTTTTGTTTGTGTATTTTTTAAAAAGCTAAAGTGGATAGAGAGAAATAGTTTTAACTCATGGTATATGGAAGGGATTATTATAATCAATGTAATGAAACAATTTATATGAATGGTTGAATGTGAAACTGGTGATGTGCCCTGTAAACTTTCACTCAATCCACAATAAAAACCTTAAATTTAAAAAAAAAAGGAAAAAGATAATGGAATTTTCCATGAACTTTTTATATCGCGTCCTCATCTAATTACTAAATTCAGAGGCACTTGACTTTTTCTCCCTTTATACAAAGTAAGGAATGTGTTTTTTAAAAAATGTGTCAGATAAAAGTAGTATCTCAACTTTTATTCTCTTCCACATAATTTTTAAGTATAAAGCTGAAGAATCAACGTGCATACCAAGTTTTGCAGTGTTTCAGCTGGCATGAAATGAATACAGAGAGGCATCTGTCCAAATTAAGTTAAAAACACAGGAAGTTCCTGTATTTCGCTTCCTGTCCCTTATAACAAAAACAAAAGCAAACAAAAAATCTTCCATAATAAGTTCTTTTCAGAATTTCTCTAATGTTAATAACAGGATTTTGTTATTTCAGTGTGATAAATTGTTTGCTGTATGTTCTCACTCGTTTTATTAAATATATTAAGGTATTAAAAGGCATTTAAATGATTTGTTTTTCTTTGTCTTTATCAGAACACAGCAATGGAGGAAACAGCCATATGGGAACAACACACAGTGACGCTTCACAGGGTGAGTTGCAGTAAATAATCTATGTTTAACTCAGGATACTGGCAGTTTTTTAAAACAATGGAGGAAAGCCAGATGTCAGGAAGTCAGAAGAAAAAGGAAAAACATTTCTATATTCCTTTGTTTAAATTCTTCATTCAGGTCACAAGTGAACATGATTACTTTTTCATGTAGCCTCTCTTTGGTTCTTATTTGTGTAATCTGTACTGTAGGATCAGCATTGGACTGCTAGCCCCAGTGTTGGCAGTTCAAATTCACCAGCCTCTTTCGGAAGCCTCATACCAGGGTCATTATGAGCTGAAACCGACTTGATGGCACTCAACGATGTGCTGGTTTTGTTTCTGAGTTAAAAAAACAAAAACAAAAAACAACTGTATGATTTACTTGAGCAATTTTGTGTGATTAATAAAATACCCAGTATATTTGCTTAAATGTAAATTGTAAATTGCCTCATCCTATCTGAGTATATGTGCATGTACTGATGAAAGTTTGGAGTTTAAAATTAGATTAGGTTATCTTCTGATGCCATGTCCATAATAAAACCTAAAAAAATAGCTTTGATTTGGAACATAAAACCCACGCTATTACTTGAGCAATTGCTGATTGGTAGAGATATTTGTAGTAAGCTTGGTATGAGTAAGAACGTTGTGTGGAGTAAGATTGCCCTGAATTTTAATTCCAGTTATGCCATTTTCTTAACTTAGGGACTTGGGCAATTGATCCAACCATCTTATAAATACCTTTGTTTTCACCTATTTAGCATAAGACAAATGGCACCTACTTATGCTCGACATAAGCTAAATGCCTTCCATAAACTCTTCCCAACCTTATTTAAAAATACTATTCTCTTTAGAGATAGTATAGAAAGAAATGAGAGACTATTTCAATGTGGGCCATTACTTTATTTTTACTATTTCTACTAGCTGTATCCTTTGTGAGGCAGGTGGAAACTGGGACAAAACACATAATTGAACCCTGCCCCTGTTTATTTTGTAATTGGTTGACTGCATATATGTAGTTGTTGTTAAGTGCGGTCGAGTTGATTCCGACCTATAGCAACCCTATGTAGGGTTTCCAAGGAGCAGCTGGTGAGCTTGAACCACCAACTTTGCAGTTCAAACGACTTTGCAGTCTGATGCATTAGCCCACAGCACCACACCCAGACTCCCTATATGTAGTAGATAATAAGTAAAATAATTACTTTAAAAAACTATTTCAGATCAGATATAGAGAACATCTTTTATGTCTCACTGGTGTGATATGATAGGATATGCACTGGATTGCTAACCACAAGATCAGCGGTTCAAACCCTCCAGTACTCCTCAGAAACAACCTAGACAGGGTTGTTATGAGTTGGAACCAACTTGATAGCACTAACTGGTAAAATATGTCACTGAATAATTTTTGTTTTTGTTGTTACGTGCCATAGAGTCAGTTCCGACTCATAGCAACCCTGTACAGGGTTTGCGAGGCTGTAAATGTTTACGGGAGCAGAAAGCCTCATCCTTCTCCTGCGGAACAGCTGGTAGTTTCAAACTGATGACCTTGCGGTTTATAACCACTATGCTACCAGAGCACCTTACCATTAAATAATAACTAACTTTACATTTTGATATATAACACTGAATATGGTCTCTCTGTACATATGTGTTCGATCTGTGCTGATGTGTTGTTGTTGTTATGTCTCATTGCGTCAGTTCTGACCCAGACCTTGGATTGTATTTCTGAGAGTGACTGGTGGGTTTGAACTGTCAATCTTGTCTGATGGGTAGCATATATAAATCAGAGCTATGATTAAACAGATGACATAATTTCATGTCATTTGACTGTTTAATTGGCTAGACTTTAGTTACTATTTTTAACTAGAATCTCTAATGATTAGATGGTTGTGATAGAATTCTTTGGTATTTCATCTTACATCTTTTTATTGATGAGTTTAGTTGGTATAATTTATACACAACAAAATTCTTAGTGTGCATTTCTGAGTTTTGACACATAGTCATGTAGCCACTACCACAATAAAATGTATAGAAGAACCCTATTACCCTAACACTTTCCCTGTGTTTAATTATAGGCAACCCTTCTCCCTTCAGCCTGTTTCTACAGTGTGCCTTTTCCAGAATGCAATACTGATGGACTCGTGTAGTCAATAGCCTTTTGAGATAGGTTCTTAGATTTAGCCTAATACATTTCAAGATTTCTCCACGATGGTGCTTGTATCCGTAGTTTGTTCTTTATTGCTTAGTAGCATTCTCCTTGTACTACATTTGGATATCCATTCCCCAGTTGTACGTTTGTACTGTTTCCAGTTTGTGAATAAATCTGTTCAGGTGTAGAGGTCTTTGTACAAGTGTAACTTTTCAATTTTCCTGGGTAAATAAATACCTAGGAACTAAATTGCTGTGAATCAAAAGGTAAGTGAGTATTTAATTATATATGAAACTGCTAGACTGTACAATTTTGCATTCTTACTAGCGATGTTTGAATGCTCTAGTGGCTCTCTAGTCTCACCAACACTTAGTATGGTCTTCTTTTCAATGTTACTCGTTTTAATAGATGTGTATGTAGTACTATCTTGTGATTTTAGTTTCATTTACCTAAATGCTACTGAGCATTTGTTATGTGTTTATTGTCATCAGTACTTGTTTGTTGTAAAAATATGTTAAAATCTTTGCCCATTTTAATTGTTTTTTTAAATGCTGAGTTTTGAGAGTTATTTATATATTATGAATGTAAATTCTTTATCAGATGTGTTGCAAATATTTTTTTCCAGTATGTCTTGAGTTTTTCTTCTCTTAACAGTGTCTTTCGCAGATCATAAGTTTTAATCCGATTCGTTTGTTTTTTTTTTTTAATCATGCTATTGGTTTTTTGTCAGGAAAAACCTTTGTTAAACCTGTAGTCACAAAGATTTTCTCATGTGTTGTCTTCTAGGAGTATTATTTTAGTTAAATTTTGTATTTTTTACAAGATATGGGTGGACAGTTTTTTTGGGGGAAGGGGCAGGGCATATGGATGTTCATAATATTGAAAAACTGTTTAAAATGTTATCTCTATTGAATTGCCATTATAACTTGGTCAGAAATCAATTTGATAAATAGACAGATTACACAGAAATGAAAAGAGTCCATCACAGTGAATCCCATAGACATCAATAGGATAATAGAATATTGTGAATAACTCCGAATATCTCTTCCCACTCCTCTTGCACTGTGTCCTACTGTGGTGGCTTTTGTGTTACTGTGATGCTGGAAGCTATGCTACCAGTGTTTCAAATATCAGCAGAGTCACCCGTTGTGGTCAGGGTTCAGTGGAGCTTCCAGAGTGTGAACAGACTAGGATGAAGGAATTAGGTGATCTTCTCCTGAGGGGTTAGCCACTGAAGACCTGATGAGCAGTAGTGGAACACTGGCAGAAATACTACTGGAAGGCATTAAAAATCTGACCAGGGAAGAGCTGCCTACTCAAAGTAGAATTGACCTCCATGATAGGGATAGATCAAAGCTTTTAGGACCTTCTATTTGCTGTTGGGATGTGACTCAAAATGAGAAGAAACAGCTGCAAACATCCATTTGTTATCAGACTGTGGAATATGCGAATAAGAAATGGAATGCGCTAAGATTGATAATCGTAGGCATTGGTGAGCTGAAATGAGCAGGTTTTGGCCACTTTGTTATTGACTGTTATATAGTTTCTACTATATCAGGAATGACAAATTCAAGAGGAATGGAGTCACATTAATTGTTAACAAGAATATTTCAGGATTTCTCTTCAAGTACAATGATGCCTGTGATAAGATAATATCTACATGCCTAAAAAGAAGGACTAGTTAATATAACTGTTATTCAGATTTACACAGTAATCCCCAAAACCAATAATGAAGAGAAGAATTCTGTGTATTTCTTCAGTCTACAAAGAATCAAACGTATAATAAAAATGCATTGATAATTACTGGTGTTTGGAATACAAAAGTTGGAAACAAGGAGGAGAGATTCTTAACTGAAAAATTTGGCCTTGTGATATAAATGATGCTTGAGATCACATGATAGAATTTTTCAAGATTAATGACTTATTCATTGCAAATACATTTTTCAGCAACATAAATGGTGACTACCAGCTGTTCCGTGGGAGAAAGATGAGGCTTTCTGCTCCCATAAAGATTTACAGCCTCGGAAACCCTGTACAGGGTCGCTATGAGTTGGAACCGGCTACACGGCACATAACCACCAACATGGTACTTTTTGACCATCTCTTTCCACAGAAGTAGTAAATTTGATTTCTATGTATTCCAACTGGCA